CAAAACGAACTGTTCAAAAAGTTCAGCTCGCTCAAAAGAACTGTTCGACCAGTTCAGTTCGCTGAATATAGCATTTTGAACAGTTCATCAGTTCTGAACGAAACCTGAACTTGGAAAGGTCTAGACAACTCAGCATCCTTCAATATTTTGAATGATTCTCAAACAAGAAAAATGCTCTCAGAGATTCAAATGGTAGATTTTGTAGAGAATTCAATTCTCTATCTTTTGCTATATAAAGGAACTTTTCATTTGAAGAGAAAGTACGAAACAAAATGCAGTACCAAAACGCAATTAATTATGAATCAATCTGATACAATTACAACAGAAAGAGCATACTTTAATGAGATAAGAATTTAGTGTTCAGTTAATCCAGAGTTGAAAGAATCATATTTTTTAGTTAAGCCAAACAATACTATAAAATATAGACATAAATAAAGTGCTTGTTGGATGTTCACAGAGAAACAAAATCGTTCATCAACTAATAGATTCTTGAGCATAATGGAATTAAGTAAAAAAGAACAAAAGCACAATTTTTGTATTTCTACAATTATTTATTTTCTGTTCATCTTAAAGAACATAACAGAACTATTTTTTTGAATAACCAACATGGGTTTCATGTGACTCCAGGATTTCATGGGACATCACAAAGTTCTGAAGTCTCATGAAGTCCGTTGCTTCCCCCTTCAATACAATTCGGAATCATTTGAGCCTCCGATAGGAACAGTAAAGTCATGGGTTTTGACGTCTCGAGGCAAATCAGGTCATAACTTATTAAAAAAACGTTTTCAAGTCAAGTCAGATCCATGATTCGATCTCTTTTGACTCACTTTAGTTTTGGTCTAGATCTTGATTACGCTCATTTCTCGATAATTCTTCTTAATCAAATGAGCTTTTTGTTCAGTTTGAACATGATTTTTATCTTCATTTGCTATTTTTTATCCCGTTACAAGCTGCATGCGTCCAGTACTGCACAATAACATAGTTACTATCAAAACACTTACTGTTTTTGGAATTGTTTCTGTTTCGGTTTGAGAAATATCATTCGATATGTGCAATTCCTCATGATTTTCGAAAGACAGACTGTTATATTCGATCATTTGTTATTGTTGTTGTTGAGACTTTGAAGGCTATGCCGAAGTATTATTCATCGTGCTTTATTTTCTCTAAAATTTTAAGTAATCATGTAGTTGAAAGTTAACAGAAGAAAGTAGTCGTTCCAACAATTTTTCTTCTACTTTGCGGAATCTGAATCTAGGAAAGAACTGCTTCTGTGACAGTACATAATTCGACGTAACCGTTCAACGTAAAGACGATAAGTTCGCAACCCATTTTATATTATGAATAAAGAAAAACAGTTACAATTTTATTTTGTATGCTTTTTCCACGTCTATTTTAGTTTATCCTATATATGTCGGTCAAAACTTTTATCTACATTCAGTGTGACTGCTGATGTTGTTGAGACACGAAACGTCTCAAAGAAATAAAGTCTATTTTTAAAATATATAGGTGTTTACGTTGTTACTTTTCTTATTCAAATTTTCATCTTTGAGAATTTTTCCATAAGACATAATTTTTTACATATCAATATGTTAAGGATGTATTTCAAATATAGCACAAAAGGCTGACATATTCAAGAAAATCTGTTTTATTCAACGAGACAAACATTAATAATCGTTTCTGAATCAAAAACGATTGCAAATTAATCTAGAAAAGGGAGCGATCTACGAGAACTTTGAATGAATGTGAAAATGTTCTACAATTACTTGGATTAATCTTTCCAGTATTTACCCGAAGATATTTTCGATTTAAAAAAGCGGGACTTTTTCATATGCTTTTGAAAAAACCACGCAAATTCTTTTAACAAATTTCTTTCAGTTTAAACGTACTGGTCATGGCAACTCGTGCTATCCCATGGTTCAGTTGTGTTCATGAAAAAGTTGTTGTTCTTTCTTCTGGATTTATTTAATTGATTATCAAAGAATGGGAAAAATGGAAGCAAATAACTTTGTTGAAACTGGTGTTGTTTATAGATGAATTATAAGGCTAAAAGAGGTGAGTCACTTCTATGTTCGCAGATTTTTCTCTCATATTTTCTTCTATAAATATCAATTTCTATGTTTTTTCTTTAAGGTTTTTATGTTACGGGTCTTAAAACACGATTTCCACATCTACGGGTCTTCTCCACGATTTTGACGTTCAAGTTTTTTATCGTACAATTTTTTCTTTCTGACATGAAACTCACGCGTCTGATCAATTTTCTACTCCAGGGTTTTTTTGAACGTTGTTTCTGCTACGACTTTTGATTTCGCGCTTTATTAAATGTTTTTTTCCCGCCATGCACTATTTTGTTATAAAAATGAAATATCATTTGTTGATTGAGGCCCTTTAAACTTACACAATTCAAGCTGATTTATTGGACTGTAACAATGCTAAACAACAGCAGCAACAATAAGAAGCCCATTTTTATTCCAGAAAAAATGTAGTGATACTATAAACTCCTATTTGAAAAAGTATTACCTTATCTCTTTCTTGTTTAAAAAATTGAGTAAAACGATGAAACATTATTCTTTTTATTTTTTCTGTTCTGATAACATCATTATATATATATAGAAACAGTCACCAAGCAGTAGATTTTTCTATATACTGGGTGTGGCAAAAGTTTTGCGACATTTTTATCTCTGGTGTGCATTTTCATTGAAAACGGTAATGGCCGGCCGCTCCAAGCGTTTTTTCTTTCTTTCCCATATGAAAAGATGTAGTTTTTCACGAGCTTTCAGAATAAGCCCTACTCTCTAAAAAGAAGCTTCGACTTTTTTACGCAACGACGTTACTTTTTCGAAAATTTTCTCTTCAGACCCTTCTAAAAATCGTCGTACATCGATCCCTGAAGGGTGTACTAGTTTATCAGATGATGCAAGGTAGTTGTAATACGTACGAAATTGATCAGATTCTCGCGAAGAAAGCTCTGTTTTTGATGCAAAAGCAACACAAGTAGACTACCAATTTTTTCGACCTTCCTTTTAAGATCTTCGAACTTGTCTACATCCAGTGCAGATGGTAAAATATCCTTAAATTTGACATTGATCTCTTTTAATGTACTGATGGACTTCGTCAGGTTATTGTAAAGTTCTTCACGCTTTCTTTCAAATAGCGTCGTCTCATCGCTAATGAGTTCGACATTTACTTGAGCTCGTAAACGATCTATTTCTTTCTCAAGCTCAGAAATCATATCTGCATATACGGTAATCTTTGCAATGTCTGCAACAAGGTTTTAATTAGACCATGCCTATGGCATTGTCTAATCTTCTGCAAAAGTGTATCCCAGCGCTTCGATATTACCATAACTTTTTGTAATTCAACAATACTCATCTCGCTCATCGCAACTTGATATTTCTTCGAATTTTTATACAAATATTCAGACATTTTTTCAAATCCCTCGCTTCCTTTTTACACAGCACTTTCGGACAGTAATTCTTGGACGCTTTCACCAAATGTGTTAGGAAAACCGAGATAAACGATCATATTGCTAAAAGCTTTTTCAACAACCTGCGTTTGCTCAATAAATGGATATGTTGGTAACAGTTTCAGAGCAAATTTCAAAATTTTTAATAGTTAATTCACGAACATTTTTATAAATTCCTTCTACTTCTGGAATACAAGAAACCGTATTCTCAACCGTACAAGCTTCTCTGTATTTAAAGAGTTTTTTGACGATATCAACTGCAGATTGCATACCTTGTTTCTCTAGAAAACTTCCACATTTGTCCGATAGGCATGCAGCTTTCTTAAAATTTCTTCACGTAATTTTACGAAAAGTTCATGTTTCCTTTCTTTACTGTATTGCTGAGCTAGGGTACATATTTGTATGATGGTCTGATCGCCTTCGTTCCCATTTTTCAGATCAGAGCAATATTCAAGTTACGCTTTTGTGTGTTCTCTTCATCGGCGAGTAGTTTGCTCAATTCATCGTTCTGCAGTTTAAATGGAGCTTGCAAATCTTCGGGTAAAAAACATAGTGCGGAATTTAATGAACGTATCTTCGCTGAACGCTTATCTAAAGGAGCACCACGCACACTTTCTATAGCCTGACTAAAATTTTGTCGAATTTTTCCTAGCGTTGACGTGAACGCTTGATTAAATCGAGCACCACCGTGTGCGGCAACCTGCTTTAATTTCGCTAATAGATCTTTGGGTGGATTTGCGGCGTCGCTATTAATATCTTCAGAGTCATAACGTTTCGAAATGTCACTCACTATACTATCCGATTTTTTTCTTACTTCACTTTCATCAGCAACAAAATTTGATGTATAATATCCTGCTAATTCGCGCTGCACACAGCTCAGATTTTCCATGCCTTGTTCAGCCTCAGAAAAACTATCTGCATTCATAAAATCTTTTATAGATCTCAGTCCTTTCGAACTAATTTTCGATAATTGTTCATTGATGCCGTTGTCAAAACTTCGAAGATCATTTTGAGTTTTATCGTCCAGCAGTTCCAAGAGACCTTCTTTATTCAAAACAATCTGAACTTTGTCTATATTTTCTTTCATAATCGTTACTTGATTCCTATTATCTTCCTCTCTTTCAATTTTTCCATCTAGCCAATTTACAATACTTTTGGTATCTTTCATTAACTTATTTAGAGAACTCTTTAACTCGTGCTTAATCTGCTTTAAGTCTTTCTCACTTAGAGAGCGGTCATCAATGTCAGATAGCGCTATATCTGCATTTGCATAGTCTCCTTTGTATATGTAGTTCAGGACAGCCTTGTAAACTTCTCTAGACTCTTTGGTTACCTCTACTTGACACTGTCGGTACCAAGCTCCAAATCCATTACCTGCAAATACAGCTACACAGAAACGATCTAAGCAGCCCAATGCTTGGGCGATGATTAATCGATCTCTTAATTCTCTGTTGTTACTGGAAACCCGGCATTCTTCCGTCTTACCACTTAGAGTACGATGATAATCAACAAATTCTGGAAGCCAATGTTCTACTTTCTCGGTTCCATCCATGCATTGAAAGACACGTATAAATTTACTAAGAGAAGATAATTCATGTAACCGCATTTCTAAATCATGAGAATACTGAAAAGGATCTCCTTCAGCATCAATACTAATCTCATGCTTAAATTCGACGTATTTCCTGATTAAGAAAATTACCGTATTCATCTACGTATTTTTGCAAGATCCTAGCGGTATCAGCTGCAGTTTCTTTTATGCGATCGTGACCTACTTGTTCGCATTATATATAGCAACACATTATTCACTGCCGAGGCATCGAATTGGTCGCTAAAGTCATATGTCTCCTTATTTTTCTCCCGTTCAGCAATATTTCTCCGCTTTTCTCGAATGGCTTCTTCCAGTATTTCAGAACCTTCACGTCCTTTCTCTCCTAGAAAAATCATTTCTTCGGGAGAAACAATATCACGTGGAACTAATCTCCACTCAGCAAGTTAGAGTGGGTTCTTCCTATTTCATCCCACACCGCTAACATCAGGTGTAATTAAAGAGTCAGATCCACAGTCTAAAAAAGGTACTTCATAAAACCCTAAAAAGATATAACCATCCGTGAAAAACGTTTAAAGGGTATAACCATTTGAACCATATTAAAACTGTTTAAATGTTTCTTATTCTTATCAAAAAACCAATTTTCATCTTCGAAAATATG